TTTAGACCTTCTGCCCAGCAGCTTGACCTTGTGCTGCTCAGCCTTGAAGACTGTAAGAAACAAACTTCTGTTGTTTGTAAATGACCCCATCTCAGGTGTTGTGTTCTAGCAACCCAAAATGGAGTGAACCACATGTCTGTTATCACCACAACTTCTCTGGTGAAAACAATGATCTGAACAAATTATACATAGACTGACGCTGGTATGATAGCCTTTGATTCCTTGGGCAAAAATGTGATAGGAATACACCAAGTGTCATCTAACAAAAAATTCATTAATACTATGATATAAATTAGAATCAAATACATAATAAGACATCTCTTAGTCTCAAAGCATCATACCCTAGGCAGCATCAAGTGTTATCTATATTTAATACAACACATTAGCTTGCAAATTTCAAAATGGCACATGGAACAAGCAGTATTTTTTTCTACCATGATAAGAACACATAGAGAAGAAAGTAGGAAGCCAGAATTTTTTTTAAAACACCCAAACTGAAACAGAGTCTATCCACAGCCATTGCTTGTGAGGTTGTCAGTACTGTCTTTTGTGGATATATAATCAAGCTACCAAAGTCGATGCTGAGTTAAAGACGAAAAGATAGGTACCCCCCCCCAAGCACACACTGCATTGAACAAAAAGAAACACATTAAGATTCCCCAATGTTTAGATTCTAAATGTGTGTATTGAAGAACCTAAAACACAGCACTAAACCTACGATGACCATACCTCCCTCTCCTTTCCAGCCCTCCAAACCTACAGAAGTCTCTTCGTTCAGTACTTTCTATATTAGTGTCTTTCTTTAACCTCACAATGCCAGTGTACTTCTGAGACATTACTTTAGAAATCCTCTTAAGAGAGGGAATTTTTGAGCCAGATATCTTCCCAAAATTCACAAGGTTTTTTGAATCAGCTAGGTAAGAAAGTTAATTCCTTTGTACATCTGCAGCATTTGCCTACATTGGGGTTTCCAAATGCTTTCTGGAATTATCTAATTATCCTTCACAACTTCCCTGGGAGAGAAACAGGCAGGGGGTAATACTGATTCTGTTTTTTAAAGGGATAGAGCTAATGCTTTGTTCTGCAATAAGGTAGCTTAACCTATGGCCACATCTTTTAGCAACTTCTGTTCTGATGTAAAGAGAAAACATTTAGTAGCTAAAATACCATCCTGTCAAATTAAAGATGGAAGAGCTTGAAATAGTGTCACAAATCCATCTGAATGGATGCACTTCTACGTGAATCACTTCTCCCCTTTGCAGATGACAGCTACTTTTGTGGTGTATCTCAGGTGGTCTTCTCTGAGGCAGCAGTCTTGTGAGAACCTTCTGAGGTTTTTGAGAAAACAAAAACAACATCTGCCCTTTTAAAGAATCAGAACAGCACATGCCTGTAATTCTGGCACATGACAGGCTGAGGCAGGAGGATTGTTATGAGTTTGAGACCAGTTTGGGCCACAAAGTGAGCTCAAATCCATCCTGAACTGCATAGTGAGACTGTCTCTCAAAAAAAAAAGTTAGAACATAGGTGTATGCTTTTCTAGCTAATTTTTCTTGTATTTTGTTAGTCTATTCAAGATGATACAACAAAATACCATAAACTGGGTGATTTTGAAACAAGTGTGTACCTCTTTCATGGGCACTAATCCTAATCGTGAAGACAGACTCTATCCCTTCTCAAATATCCCCCTCCCTCATTCTATCACACTGGCAATTTCACATTAGGAATTGTAAAAGACACAAATATTCAGACCATTGCATATGCATTAAGCATGAAATTGTTAATTTTCAGTTTGTAAGTTATCTAACTTATATGATGGATGTATGTTGGTTAAAATTTCTTGTCTGTGTGAGACTGAAACAGAGATCATTAATCATTGCCAAGCAAAAGTAGGATAAGTTGATGTTCTGGCATGTCTTGGTACCTGTTTTCATTAGGTTTTGTAAACTTCTGCGGGGAGAAAAGAGCTCTTAACCACCAGCCCTAGAACTTCCACACTAAAGGGTTCTTCTTACGATAACTCAGTTTTCCTAAGAATTGTGTTAGAAATGGTTACTAGATCTGAGTTCTTGGGTCCAGCAGTGGTTAGAAAAGACACAGGATTCAGAGAAACACAGGCTCAAGTGAGGCTTTAATGGAAATGCTGTATGAACAAGAAGAGAGATACAGCTCAGACCAGGAGCAAGTCAGGCTGGTAACCTCCCAGAGGAAAAGGAGCTGTTAATATAGGGAAAGGCTCCCTCCCAAATTCCCATCTAAGTCCTCCATGTAAAATAAGGGATCCGAACTTGTAGAGTACTGGTCCTGATGGTCAGTGTCTGGTTCAGCTGCAGGCAGCTCCTTGGTCAGCTCTGACTACAGGCAGGAGTGCAGGCATCTGTGGTTTGTAGCTGTGTTTTTAATTCTAGGGTTGCATGTGAGCCCTGAGCCCCCATTTATGTCTTTGTTTTGTTTGGCTATGAAAGCACAAAGCAGGAATAATCCCTGCATGACCCCTTCTCTGCATTTAATCATTCTGTCCCCTTTTGAGTGGCCTCAAACTGTCTCATTATCTCTGTTAAGGGACTTTCAAGATAAGAGATTATTGTGGCGAATTTTTATGTGCATTTCCGCCTGATCGTGGGGTTAGGCACTGTTTCCAAAATAATTATGAATCAGTATTTTCTTTGGTCTGGATCATATACCCAGCAATCTCTGAAGTAATCCTCAAAATCTAAACTAGGTAATAGAAAGCCACTGGGCTATGTTACTAACCCCATTCTGTTGTTATTAACAACCTCTAAAGCAAACAACAACAAAAATGAAGTTCCAAGTTTTTCTGTTAAGATGAACTATTCTTTTAGGACATTCCACATTCTTTTGATTATACTTTAATCCAGAAATCAAGGTTCTCCCCCAAAGTGCAGCTTAAGAGCTTCCGTTAACTCTCTCAGTGCTTACCTTCATGAAATCTCACCCAGATTTCTATTATCATTCTGTTGCCTTGGGCTTTAGACTTTGTAAAAGTCAGCTGTCATTTTCAAAGTATTCCAAAATAGCACACTCAACAGATCCCTGGAGCCCTGGAAATGTTAATGCCCTCCATCAGCAGTGACCTTGCCACAGGGAAATGATTTAGGCACCAGGGAGAAAAGAGCCCACTATCTTTATCACACTGGTTTACACCATCAAGTTTAGAAATTGTGTAAGAGAAGAATAATCAATAGTGTGTTAAGAGCAATCTCAAGGAATGCCAAGACAAAGTACTCCTGCTCTGCAAAATGCTGAGTTGAAGGAGAACTTTTGAATGCAACAAAAGAGAAATTAGCTGTAGTGGTAAAGCAAAATGAATTGTGTCGCAAGATGGAATTTGTCTTTGGGAATGGCGTGAAGGCCTCTCTCTGCATACTTCTGTGGGGTCACGTACCATGCATGATGCAAAAGGTTTGTTTTATACTTAAACAAGGAATCAAATAATGAAACCAAAAAAATGCATTGTAAATATACATGTGCAAGTTAAGAATTAGCTCACTTAAATAGTTCTGAAGAATTTTGTGAAAAAAGTATCCAAAAGAATCATCCCTGAACAAATGTAAGAAAGATGTTCTCCAACTATTTATTTTCTGTAAATCTAGGTAAGATATTCTCTATTTATAAGTGACACAGAGCTTGTGATGACATAAATGAGGTGCTCTCACACCACTCTGAATGAAGCCCCTTTGGAAAAAAGAAAAGGTGTCAGCTCAGTCCCTAAGTTTATTACAATGAAGTGTTTAATTTCCCACAGCTACACTAATTGTGACATGAACAGCTGTCAACAACAAAATTAGAAGAGCCTGTCATTATATAGATTTCAACCACATTTGCTTGTCCTATTTCCACATGACTCAGGAGAGAATTTTCAAAGACTATTTTCAGTTCAAGGTTTTCCTTATTCAAGGGGAGTCCCATGAATTATCTGGCCTAATGTGTTATACATGAAATGCACATGTCCATCAACATGGATCTCAAATGGATGGATATTGAATACCAAATTTAAGTACCTGGAAGAGTCTGGGTCATAATTTGTTTAACTCTGAAATCTTCCTATGAATTAATTATTATAATCCTCATCTTTTTGTTTGTTTTTAAGACAGGGTCTTGCTATATAGCTCAAGATGATCTCAAACTTGAGACCTTTTTGTCTCAACCTACCCCTGAGTCAGCCTGCCCCTGACTTAGGCTCCTCTGTGCTGGGATTACAGGCATGCACCAACTCTATAATCTCAATTTTAGTACAGCCAATTCTCATTGTAGTAGTTACATTTTATAAAGTCATTGCAAACACTGAGTTATCAAACACTAAGAATATCAAACATTATTCTTATGGAGAACATATGATTAGAGTCCTAAGAGCCATTGATCCCAATATTATGATCAACCAATCAAATCAAAACCTTGTTTCATGTGTGTTTTGCCCGTAAAGACACCTTTATGTATGTTTATGCAAAACATTTTTTTTTTCCATGAGATACTCCACATTCTTGTGCTCAGAAACACTGGAAAGTACTTCAGGCCCATGCTAGGGAGTCATGTAAACAGTAAAATCTCTAAGAAAAGAACAAACATGTGGTACTAAATTAATCACCAAAAGGACACTTGTTTATATGCTAGTATGAGAGCTGAAATTAGACAGAGCATCACTGTGATCAGCATCAGTCGGGACCATTCTCCAAGGACCATTCAACTTTTTTGCCACTTTGTTGGTGTCTGTGAAAATACTGTGAATGTTGGTTTGGGGACTAGGCAAGTTCACAAACACAGACACTGCCAATAATAAAGATTGACTAAGAATCAGGGCACAGAGTTGACCTTTCAATTGTTTTAGTGGTTGTATGTGTTTAAGTATCAAAATTAGAGTTTAATAGAGGGAAGTATTTCATAAAAAATGTGTACTACACATTGTACTACACCCTTCTCCATCCTGATTTTAAGAGGAGATTCATCATGGAACTCTTTTAACATTTAAATTGTTCTGCCAGGTCTTCCAGGGATGTGGCCAACCCAAACCTGCCCCGGGTCTCAGATCTGCCCGCTCAGCTCCTGAGAATTTTAACACACGGTTTAGACCCTATAATCCTGAGGAGCGACCCACAACGGCTGCAGGCACAAGCTTGGACCGGCTGGTGAGTACATGCGAATTGATGAGTCCAGTGGGTGGGCGCCTTCTGTTACCAAGGTCATTCATTCTTCCAAACAGGTCATAGGATTCTAAAAATGTTGGTTGAAAATCCATCTCCTTCTTATATCTGCCCCTGTTCTTAATTAGAATATTGAAAAGTAATAAGATCTTTCTTTTAGGGCAGAATTAGATTATTTAAGAAATCTTATAACTATTAATCAACTGGTACAGTGACCAAATTTTCAACTACATATTTCTTCTGAAATATTAATTGGAAAACTGAGTTGCCCATTCTTCCAGAGATATAATTACAATAGCGTATTTTTTATTCATCTGCTCCAGTTCTTTTTAAAGCATGATTATTTATTCAATTATGATATAATGTTACTTTATTATGACTTGTTATATGCAAAGTTTCCTATTGAAAAGACCCTGCCAAGAAATTTCAAATTAAAGTTACTGGATTTTTTTCTTTTTCATGATTTTAAAAAGTTAGAATGCTCAGAAGTAGTCACTGTTTGAGCCATTTAAATGTGTGTCAGGGATTGAATGGTACCTATCATCAGAGTAATTTACCTGAAGAATAGAACCATAAACAGAGTAAAAATGATTTTTCAAATGTATTTTTAAAAACTGATCTGGCATAAAAAATTAAAAGCTCATAATTTCAAAGAAATGCCGGCTGGTTATATTTAATTCAATTTATAGTACTATAAACAATTTATATACCTGTGACTGTTGGTGTTGTTAATGTTGCTTTGCCAATTATCTTGATGTAAAATTAATGGATTAAAAACCTTAGGGTCAGAAAGCATTTGAACCATATCTGATCGTGTCATATAAACTCAGATCTCAAATGTTGCTGGTTATGAAAACACTTATTAGTCACTGTTTCAAATGACTTTATGATTTTAGTTAATATCTTTCTACAGTTTAGAACTCATAAGATTAAATTAGTTACATTTGGCCTCAATGTAATACATCTCAAAATTTCTATCTATAAAAAAAATCAAAGGTATCTGCAACATAAAATATATCCAGGATGTTTCAATGTAAAGGGGTAACTGTAGTAGTTAACTGCTAAATTATGTTATAAATTTATTATCATTTATTAGCTAATAAAATCTCCTCTCCAGTATAGCTTTTGGAAAAGGTATCAATGTATAATTCCTTCAGCATTCTACTCTGTCTTCCTTATGTCTGTATTCTATAAGTTTCAGGAAAAGTTTAAATTAATTAGGCACTAACTCTCCTTTAAACAACTAATTAGATTCTGCCAAACAACTAGCCCCTGTTTTAAAGAATGATAGGGGTTTTTAGATTCCACTATTTTGGTTCTACTTCGCAAATTAGTTTGTGTATGTTTCTAACAAGAAGCATAAATGGTGAGTGAAGGTTTGTTCCTGTATCCCTCCATTTTAGTTGGCTCTAACTTAATATTTAGAAGAGCTTAGAACTTTTAAGGTTTTGAAAAATCTAATTTAATAACTGGGGAAAAATATAAGATGAATAAGTTTTAGAGATCTAATCTACAGCATGGTGTCTTATAGAAATATTGTACTAGCCACTTAAAAATGTGTCAAGTGAGTAGATCTCATGTTAAGTGTTATTATTAAAATAAGCTTAAGAAAAGAGCCTGGGTGCATCATGCACTTAGTTAAAACTTCATTGAATTTCAACAATGTAATGCTATCTGTGACAACTAATTAATTTTTTCCCTTTGAAACAGAAAAATACAGTTTACTGTTTTCCCCACGAGAAATAAATACTCACCCTTAAGCAAAGGAAATAGAACATGAAAAATGTTTCTCAAGACACAACATTTATGCAGTTTAACATAACCTAGAAAAATGCACTTTGAAAATTTTATAAGATTTTTGAAATCTGATAGATAAGAAAACTAGAATTTGAACCTCTTATAGAGGAAGTTAACTGATAATCCTCAAAATACCACCCCTACAAAAGGATCTTGAAGAGTACTGATAAAAGGCAAGCACAATTGAGGATTTTCTATTGCAGACACCCTAACACACAATTGGCATAGTTAATCATCTGATCATAAGAACCAGTCTCAGCACAGAGGTCTCAAGCAACAGGTCACTTCTATTCCACAATAGCACATAATACTTACTTCCTCATAGGTGTGGATTCAGGCTGTGTGAGAATGGCAGCTGTACTAATTTTTATTAGATTAAACTCTAATTCCTTCCCAGATCTAAGGATGAACAACTTGTCATTCACAGCCAGCATAAAGCCCACCAAATCTACCTTCCTGGGCTCCTGAGAGCCAGAAAATATCTCCACATCAAACAGTGAGGTGCCACTGTGATTCTCAAGAAACAAGAGCTGGCCCCGAAGCTAGTATCAGAAGCTAGTATCTCTCTGCAGCCCTTGGCTTCCCCAAGGCCTGCTTGCCTTTATAGGCTTGAGATAGCTTTGAGCAGTGGACAGGTGGAGCTGAGCAGCAGTGTCTACCCAGATGATCTGTTATCCATTTCAGCCTCATGCAACTGTTTATAAACAAGCCTCGGGTTACCTGTTCCTGTGTTAATTTTCCCCTGAAAAGACATTTCCTGAATATTTATAAGAAGCATGTGTCCCAAAAAAAGGAGGATAATTGGAAACGATTTCCAATTTTAATTTCTCTGTTTCGCCAAAGAAAATGCTTCAAAGACCAGCATCAAAAGAATTCTCCAATCACTCCACCTCTTTTCCCTAAATGCAAATAGCTCTAAGGCTCCTGGAGTGTTACTTCTTTAGTACCATTTAAATTAGTACCTGTGGTACTAACTTCAGGATTTGTTGGTAAATGTTCTTACATCAATTCCTGCGAAGCTATTTTTTGTGTGAACTAGTAATTAAGGGGCTTGTTTTAGAAATAAAACTCCCTAACCCAAGCTGCTGCTAAAACTCATATAAAAAGTTAAAAAGAATATTCTCTTTTAAATAGGTCAGTTCCATCATTTAACCTCTTATTACATTTATAAGGAACCTATAAATTCTTTTCTATCACTAGGAAATGTTTCCATTTGTCCCTGGAAAGTTCTGTGAGCCTAAAACACAGTTGAGGTAGCCAGTGGCTTTCAGATACCCTAAATCCTACCCTAAAGTGATTTTTATTACCCAGCCACGAATGAATTTATCTGTATAAATTCAGTTGCCGATGACAGCCAGCTCACCTGAAAGTATCACAATCCTTCACACCAATAGTCGCGATTTGTCAAGGAATCAGTGAATGTCATAGACTAATTCGGTTACAGTCAGGGCCAGCTTTGTCTCCTTCATCACCAGCTTTAACTTTAGCAGGGCTCTGTCCCAGCTGGAGATGAAAGATTTTCAGATAACGAAGCCAGAGGAGATTGTTTGCATTCAGGAAGAGGCTAGTTCTCTTCCATTTCTCTTGAATTTATACTCTGCAAATTCTCTTAAATAATTTAATACAAACTACTTTTTATATTATTTTTTCTTAAAGGAAGTTCCAACTCATGGCAAGTACCAAGTAAAACATAAGTCAGCACAAAAATAAGTAGCTCCATTTTTAAGACCTGATCATACAGAGGTTTTGAATTTTCCTCTCTAAAAGGCAATCATTCGCACAGCTCAGAAAACTAGAGCACAATGTGCCAGGAAGCTCTCAAACACCGTTGAGTGGGGCTTGTCTATTGCTTTAGCTCTTTCACTAAAGCAAAAAAGGTCTTTTAATGGCCTTAAAAGAATATAGTTTTTTAAAGTACCTGGTTTTTAAAAAGCTAGACGTGAAAGTTAACGCACCAAGTTGGCAGCGATTTAGACCAATATATTTGTTCTAGTTGGGTTAATATCTCACATATGCTACTGGTCATTCAGAAGGTGGGGGGGTGGGGTGGGTAAAATGCCAACTGCCAAGGTAACCTTTGTACCTGTGCTGTGCTATTGTGTATAGAATAATCTCTTTTTCTTTTTCCTTTAAATTTGTTTTCCTCTTGCTTCCCAGAGGACTGTGTGGAGGACAATGCAGCATAGTGTAAGCCTTGGTCTTATTCTTTCTCTCATCCTCATTTGTCTCTGAACAGTCATTCTGGAAGGTTCCCGAGAAACTCCACCTCCACTTTCCCTTTCCAAATCATCCCGAGCGAATTGAACACCACACATGTCCAACTGGGTTAGCAGTTTCCTCTCTGCTTGGTATTAATGGTGAATAACCATTTTGGTATTCTCTCCCGATGGCAAAGTTTTCAAACTAATCTTTGTGTAAGACTAGCTCATTTGGTGGCTGATTTAAATTCTGTCCCAATGTTCAGACTGTTGTTGTCTGCCTGGAAAACTAGCTCTTCCCTGATAGAATATATTGGCCTTCTCTTCTGTGCCGAGCAAATAATTACCTCGCTAATAATGAGAATGAACCAACATCAGCTCTCATGCATAGGACGCTAATTTTTTCATTAAGTGATATATAGAGAACTAAGGGGGTTAAGAAATAGTTTATGGCATAGACTATTTTCTCTCTTGGTTGGTTTTTTTTGTTTGTTTTTGTTTGTTTGTTTGTTTTTTCCTGCTTGGATTTACTGGTCTCTTTTAGAGGACTCAGGGAAGGAACCCTGGATATTTTTTTATTTGAAAATGTTTTGTTCTGGGGCTGTGAACAAGAACTCTTTGGTTATTTTACTTGACTTTTTCATTAATCAAAGGAACCAGATATTTATCCAGTGTGGTTTTCAAAGTGCCTTTGCATTACGGTAAAACTTGTTAATAAAGACGTGTGCCCTCCAGCGTCGTGGCCTGGGAGAGAAGGTGACTCTTGTCTACAGAGCACATATTTATTCGTGCAGTGCACCTGTAACATCACGGTGCTCCATGAGGTCTGCCCAGTCTTAAATGCAGGCAGTGCTAATGCCATGTCTAAAATTCTTCCTTTAAAATTCATTCCCAACTCCCTGGGCAGTTTGGCTGAAGTGAAAAAGCCTTGTAACAGGAACATTCTGAAAGGGAAGACGCTGAAGAGAGGCATGGAGAGCAGACAGCTCAAAGCTTCTGGTGGTCAGTGGGGACGGGAGGAGAAAACTTCATGACTGAACAAGTTAGGGTTCAGTTAGCTCGACCAGGTCAATAGCTAGAAGACCTGCAGTTCACATATTTTGCTACATAATTTTGGGGGACATCCATATTTTCCAGTTGCGCCAGTGGAATCCCCTTCTCTGTCTATTAGCATGACCCCTGTATCTTTCCATCAGAAATTACAGGTTCCTAGAATGAATACAAATTATATGATCACCTCCTCCTGCTGCACTTCCCTGCTTGCCTCCTGTAATCATTAGACCAAAGAAAAAAAGACCTAGTTTAGACATGATTCTTCCAAAAATGACTGAAATTTATGAAATTCATTCACATGTCAGTGGCAATAACTATGTTGTCGATATTATTACATACAGGTTTAAGTACTTGCAAAATGCCATCAAGATATGTACTTTTTTGTTGTTAGTTTAAAATAAAGGGGACAAAGCAGCATCGTTTCCTGTTTAATGAGTAATCTAAGTTCAGAGTAAAACGCTAGTCATAAAAATGTTCTTCCATGGCTCTTTGGAGCCATTTTGATGTGATTTAGGAAGTGCTGGCTGTAAGGGCTTGGAAAACTGTCTGTTCATTTTAAATTGCCCTGGCATTTCATTGTCACCTCAGAGGAGTATGCATCAGACACTGTTTTGCATTTCATAAGGATGTCAAACGGTATTTAAGAAAGTGCTTTATTGTACCTGGCGTGATAGTGCACACCTATAATTCCTGCAGTTGGGAAGCTGAGGCAAGAGGATCTCTGTGAGTTTGAGGCCACCCTGGCTTACATAGTGAGTTCAAGGCCAGCTTGAAATGTATAGTGAAACCTTGTCTCAAAAAAAAAAAAAGGAAAGGAAAGAAAGACACTACTTTATTATCTAGAATTTCAGTCACTGTTTTTAGACGGAACTGATATTTCCCATCTTTTACCCTAACACACACACACACACACACACTCCATCCTTGCTCGGCCTAAACCGGGAAAAGTAAAACCTCTGTAACAACAGTAAACCAGATTCCCCACTTTAATTAGTTTTCTAAAGATAAATGGGTCAAAGCCAGATTGGTTTCCAGCTCTGCTGCAGCTGAATAAATTATGCCCCTTTCACCTAGCAAACAAATGGTGACTCTCCGTCCACTTCAGAATGTGAACTGCCTGGTGTAGCCTGGACCTATTTTTATCTATTTGCTGCAAAACCCCTCTGAGACACCCCAGTTTCACTTCCAATGAACCCTTGGTAATAACAGCAGCAAAATGAAGTGAGCTTTTGGGGCAGGGAGAAAATAAAAAACATGAAAACCAAACCACCCAACTTATTCTGTCGCAGTCTTGGTTTGTGCCCTTCTCCAAATGACATCAGCAGCATGTGGTAGCAGGGACTGTTGCCTGTCACAGGCTTCCTTCCATTTAGCAGGCTTATGGTTGATGAGGCCCGAGTGAGGAATATCATAAGACACACATATAAAGTGATGGCTGATCTGCAGGATATTCTGCTCCTTTCATGTGTTTGAAGGATACACAAATCTAATTCAGTGGTACATGCCGTGGGGAACCTGGAGGGAATGCCTGCTCCATCTGTGGGTCTTTCAGCTCATACCCAATAGACAGTGGACTATTTTTACCTCCTTAGGAAGCTGTTTTTTCAATCACATGGGAGAATAGTGAAATAGAAGGAGCACAGTGCTCTCCGTGGGTTAAGTCAGATTGTGTCTAATTGCATGAGGTTGCATGCGATAGGGAGACTGGTGATATGTCACAGCTCTGACTTCCTAGGAGATGCTGATGTCCAGTCTGTATCACTGCTTTAGGACAAGTCCAGAGAATCATATGGATCCCAACAGCGAAATAAAGACAAGCCATGCATTTTACTGGGGAATAACTTTTGTACAATTTATATTCGGTGTAAGTAGTCTGAAATCACTTTAGAGGTAATTTACCAACAAAGCCATTTTCTACTCTGGGATAAACTCTCTTTTGTTTTGAGAGGCATTTAAGCAAAAGCTTTGGTGACCTTCATGTCATAAAAAAAAAATGATATGTTACACTTTCAGAACCAAAACAGGACTATTACAGATTTATATCTATTTCATAGAATGTCAATATGCTTATTTTCTCCCTCAGACCTTAAAATTTCCTTCGGAATTTCCAGACTTCAGCTAAAACTCAAATGGATGCATTCTATAGTTATCAATCAATCAGTAAATGTATTTATTGACTTTTTTGTTGCATGGCACTTAGTAAAACTAGCTGCCGTGTGCAATCTACATCGTGGCATGCTATTAGTGCTAGAGTCATCAAAAGGCAAGGGTACTGTTCACAAAAGATATGGCTTTTCAAATTGGTTAGCCACGCTGTGTCTGCTTCAGGGAATAGTACCTAGAATAGAGCTTCATGAACCATTAGCATACAGCACACAGGAATGTAACTTTGAAATCTAAGATAGAATACACCAAAAACTGTACTAAGTATATTAACAAGTGAATGATTGTTGACAAACTATGCAAATAGAAACCATTAAACATCTGTAGCATCTTTGATATAGGCCATATCTAATAGCTCATTTTTCCTTCTTACTCTACAACTTTCTGCCTGAATCTTGAACAAATTAAACAGAAACTTCATTGTGAGTTACAAACCAGTCAGATGAAGGAGTCCATCTGTACACTCATTCAGTCTCTGTCCTTTATTTAACAATGTAATTGGTGCTCGGTAAGTTGATTATGAAAATCTGAATAGACAAGCCACATTAAACTGCTCCAATTATACCTTTAAAATATTTGTTCATGTGACACACAAAGTTGACAGAGTATTTTATTAAATTATTGAACAGTTTAAAGAATCTTTTTCTTGTCATAGAAAATCTACAGTAATTTTTCCTCTGAGCTGTCTGAGATATTTTCACCACAACTCCCAAGTGGGACATTCACAGTTGTGAGAGAGATAGAGCTGAAGAAATGGGATATTTCATAAATACCGGGCTGGTGTATTTGCTGTGTAATCAATCAGCCTTTAACTGACTCTGGGGCCTATGGAATACATTCTAAAGCACTGGAATTTGGCTATTCTCATAACATACTTGGACACTCTTTACTGCTAACAATAAACCTCAGGCATAAACATTGTAGAGAAAACCAGATGAAAAGGAACCCATTTGAGAGAAAATTGACTTCCCTTCATAAGTGTTCAAGGTAAAAAGATATCTGCAATACACAATAATTTTATTACTTAAGCCCATTCATGGTCTTTATTGTCAAAGGCCCTGACTTCACGGGTGTTTTCTTACACCTAAAAGACTGGCAAAGCTATTAAAAAATAAAAAGTCAAGTTGAGAGAAAATGAATGAATCGGGAGCCGAAGTAACACCACTATATTGCTAGCTAACAATAGTATTTTGAAAGGTATGTGTGTGTCACATTTTTAGAAGCCTTTCCATTGCTGTACTGCTCTGATGAGCCAGAATAGAGAAGTATACAGCTAAAAGCAACTCAACAAGGGCGCGGTCACACAAGCATATTTCTTGTGTGTACCAGCTACCCACTGCGGATTGATTCTCAGTCAGCTACTCACAAACACCGCTCATTCTCCAGGTCCTTGGGAGACAGAGCAGCACTTAGCTGGAGCCCAGAATATCCCAGCAGCAGGAGAACAAGAGAACATAGGAAAGCTGCCTGCTAGCACCTCACCCTGCAAGGGGCACTGTCACCCTATTCACATTTCAAGAGAGTCACATGACCAAGACCGAAATCAGGAAATGAGGGACCAATGTCCCTGTGTGTCTCATGGTCTGAACACTAACCCTGTCAACCACAAACAATATGACTGAGGTAGAGACTTTTATATTTCTCTAACTTTATTACAAACCTTATATGAAAAAGTACTAAACTACTAATCATTCATCCCATCCATTCAACAACTATTTGTTGGCTCTAACATGAGGCCAAGTATACGTAAATAACTAGAATATACTAAACAGT